CTTCTTTTCAATATTATCAACTTTATTACCTTTACCTTTAGTTTTCGACATCTAAACACAATCAAATCATCTTTCATTAATAAAGAGTAACTTTACTTTCATATAATCATCTTCCCAGTATAAATAAAACTATCAGTAATCTTTTGACATCCTAGTGGCATGTATATATTCTTAACAAAATTAATACTCATTTCATGTCCAGAAATGGCTACACTTGTAGCTCTGATACCAATAAATGTAACACCCATTTCCCTATACAGTTCCATACACGAGTCACAGATGTTACATGACTTTTGAAACATTCTCTATACTTGAAAATCAGTAAAATTTTTCGTTTTCTTTAAATAAAACCATTTAATAATATATTAAACACATATACTCCGATTAGCAATACTAGTTCATGTCATCCATATTTAAAATCAATATAAAACAATCCAATTTATCTATTACAAACCAATTTCCAAAATATTTAAATAGAGCTAATAGGACATTTATAAGTACATGCCACAAAACTAAGTCAAAATTTCATCCTAGGATGTCTTACTGATATTGAAGTATATTCCTTGATGCTTGGAGTTGTTCGATACTCTTTACTTCTAATCTCGGCGTTTAGCTACGTGTGAAACCAACACACTCTAAGTATTTACTTAGTGAGTCATAGTAATACAAAATGAATTATACTTAAATAAGCATAACCAAATTATCAAAATACAAATGGAAATCGTATCATTCAAATCAATACATCAAATAGGCTTGGCGAACTAATCTTCGATCAAATAACATGATAACTATATTTCGTATCCCCAACATACCTTTCACTCAGTATTTTCTAATTTATCCTTTGTTTGCCCAATATATGATGAATGAAAATACATGTTACATGAGTTGCACCAAATTGATGTAACTGAAACATAAGTATATCATAACTATCAAAATACATTGTTTTCATAACCTTATAAGTTCTCTAAGGTGCACACATAGTGCCGGTACGGTCATTCATAAATACATTTTGAATTTTATGGTTTGCACACTTAGTGTCGATACGGTCGTTCATCAACTTATGATGAATTTCGTGGGTTGCACACATAGTGCCTAAACGGTTGTTCATCAGCTTATGATGAATTTTGTGCTTTGCACACATAGTGCCTGTAAGACACATAGTATTGATATACAATTGTAACATATACTTTTAATAACACACATTTATAATTCTTAATGTACATAATAAATGCACTCACCTGGTATGCCTCATTAGCATTCTTTAAGGATGTCCAGCTATTCGATAACTTTATATTTTCCCTTTTTCTTACTTGACTAGGAGCTTGGTCACGATATACACAAGCATCCATTAAGTACACATACCATACCAATGTTAATATACTATCTAACATTTATACCTTTAATAATACTTAAAAATACTATTATATTCAATTTCTATCAAAATTAATCCTATTTTAATTTTCCAAACTCAATAGTATCGGTACCCCTACCATGGTATCGATACTTCTATACTATCGTATTGATAATCCCTTCAATATCGAAACCATTTCTACATTATGGAATCCATGGTATCGATACCTTCACCATAGTATCGATACCCACATTTGTATCGATACTAATTATATAAGTATCGATACTAATCATCTGATTTCCCCAAATTTAAACTTCTAGTATCGATATTGTTTCCAGTACCGATATCTTTACCCAGATTTTCCATTTTTCAGCTCGATTTTTATGCAAATTTGGTCAAATTCCCTTACTTTTACCTCCAACAATACTATTAAACTCTTATTTACTTATCCCAACTAACTTTCATTCATTTAGCTTCTTATAACATCTAAAATCTCCAAAGAACATCTCAAACCAAAAATCATACCCCTTTTTCTAACATGCCTGTAATCACATCCAAGGCTTGTAATCTCTTATTTACTTCTTTGACAAGTCAAATATACTAATAAACCTCAATAAAAACTCATATTCCAACATATCATTCAAAAACCCATTTTCTTCAATCACCAATATTTCACTAATCAATTAGTTTTAATCATCCTTGAACTTTCCTTAAGCCTCTATATCACTTAAGGTTTCAAAACTTGTCCATAAACTAGAGAAAACTAACTCAAACCATTTTCTTTCAATCACCAATATTTCACTAATCAATTAGTTTTAATCATCCTTGAACTTTCCTTAAGCCTCTATATCACTTAAGGTTTCAAAACTTGTCCATAAACTAGAGAATAAACTAACTCAAAGAAAACTTACCTTGGCAATGGGGAGAACACGTGAACACGGGAAGAAGGAGAAGAGAATAATGATATCTAGCTTGTTAAATTTCCCCTTTTCTCTCTTAAATCCCTAATAAAATGAATTTTAAATTCATTTCACTCTAATGGACCAAAATGCCCTTTCAATATTCCATTCTTACTAATTGGTCTTAAACACACTTTTTAAATCAGTTCTTATACTTTACCATTTTTTTAATTTATTCCCCCAAATTTCAAATTCTTTTATTATGGTCATCGACCCGATATTTGGGGTATTACAATTCTCCCCCTTTTGTATTTTTCATTTTTCTAATTTACTTATTATGTAACCCCCTAGACCCGGCCTATGCGTTTCGACTAAGTCTAGTGGATCACATTATGATTATTAAATACATTTTTCGAACGGTTATTCCATCAATATAAAATCACATTATAAATAACCTGAAATTATAAACAAATTATACTATCAAATCCAACTCGTATAGTACCAATAAATAATAATGTAATTTAAAACATTCTTCAAATTCAATATCACAATAAACCGGTAGTATTAGCAAAAGAGTTATCATTATAATATTCGATATTTAAATAAGGTCCATGTCTCCAAAATAAGTCACTTGCCAATAAAAACATTACAATCTGATTTACTTCAAGAGATATGTGATCCTCCAGTGCTCGAACCAAGGTCTAACCAACAGTATCTGAAAGGGGAAAACATTTTCAAAGGGTGAGCTAGGCTCAGTGGTCCCAACATTTCCATAAAATCACAATAGGTACAAATCATAGTCCAGTAATCTCACAAATTCGTAAAAGAGTTTAACTTTTTGAAAATCATAGTTTAAACCCTTTTCCGGTACACCATCAGTAGTTCCCAAATTATTTCCATATAGCTTACTTTATGCACATAGCAAAAAGAAAGCGACTTAAGGATAGGCGCTGAAGCTTGTATCCTTAAGCCCAAGTCAATAAGTCCATATAGCTTACCCTAAGCACACAGCAAAGGAAAGCCGACCTAATGAAACATCTTGGGGCCCTCAAGATTCACATTAGGCCCAGTTAGCTTGATCAGAGCTATTCCATCGTAATTCAATTCCAAAATTCAATTGCACCGTGACACAAATTCCATAATCCAAAACAGGTATCATATACCAGTTCAAAACAAAAATTAGATAGCAGCCATATTCCATAAATTGTCACATTAAATTGGTGCATCAATAAAACAATAACCATGAATTCGGTGTACCACATATAAAACCATAAAACAGTTCAGTATAAGTATGGAACACACCTCGACAATAGATTCAAATAACAAATCTACTGATTGCTGGTTTCACCACGCTCTGCTATATTTTTCGAACGGGTGAATACTGGTACACGTGGTTTAACTGATCTAGAAGAGCTGGGTCGAGCTGTCGAGCGATCCGGAGAGTCTCTTGTACCTTCAAACAATAATATTTATCAGTCCCAAATCCTATTTAATTGTTCAAAGCTAAACTTCTTAAGTATATAAGCATTTTTCGGGTTTGACTATCAATTTGAGGTATTTCAAGTCTGAATTTGGCCAAACAGATTGCGGAATCGGAATCAGGGCGTCGAAAAACATAAAGTATGACTTTTCGAAAATTCAAATTCTTGGTCAAAGTCAAAGTCAACCACTTTGACCGTAGATTTGGAGACCTTCGATTCGAATTTGACAAAACGGACCACAGAAACGGATTCGGCACGTCGAAAACTATCAGGATAGGTATACTCGGAAAAGATTAACGGTCGTTTAATGCTCGGTCAAAGCCATTTTAAGTTTTGGTCAAAGAAAGTCAACGGTCAACGGTCAACGGTCAACGGTCGGGTCGGGTCAACGGTCGGGTCGGGTCAGACCGGTCAAACCGATTCAGACCGGTCAAACCGGTTCGAACCGGTTGAAACCGGTCAGAACCGGTTGAAAACCGGTTAAACCGGTTTCCAGCAGCCACTCGCCCTGCGGCGGCGCGTGTGACGCGTGAGGCGTCCTCCGGGGCCCTAAAAATCCCGGAAAATTTTCTAAAAATTATTTTGAGCGATTTTGAGATACTTACAACGATCGGTTCAAATTTTTGAACGGCGGAGAGCTCGGTTTCAAATCGGCCGAATCTTTGACTGCACCACCTCCTCACGCGCCGCCATCTACGGCGGACAAGGTTGACACCGGTGAACTCGGAACGGCACAAGGAACACGATGGTGCGGGAGGTGTCGTAAACAGAGCAACGATCAGTGGTGAATTTAAGATTTCCTCGGCGATAGAGCTAACAAAACCGTCGCTACTTTGACTGGAAATTCCCGACGTTTGGCCGCGTTTCGCTTCAATTAATTTGAAGGGTTTGTTCCTCGCTCGATGATGAACACAACGGTGGTTTTAAAACGATGATCGGAATTTGGACGGCGTCGGAATCGGAGTTGGAAACTGCGTATGGGAAAGGAAAATTGGGAGCATTTTGGTTCTGAAAATCAGAACCAAATGTACGCTTATAATCAAAGCTGCCGACAGTTTTAGGGTAAATTCAAGGCTTGGTCCTTGGATTTCCTTCACTTCTAAAATGGCCTATAAACTCTCATAAATTTTGATTTAGTCACCAACAATTTACCAATTTTCACAATTAACCTCCAATTTCAATTAAATATTATTTTGTAAATATTCGGGTTGTTACAATTCTCCCCCTCTACAAGAAATTTCGTCCTCGAAATTTACCTTATGAGAATAGTTGAGGAAACTGAGCCTCCATTGACTCCAATGTCTCCCAAGTAGCTTCTGAGGGGCCTCGATTACTCCACTGAACTTTGACCATTGGAATTCGTCTATTCCGAAGAACTCGTTCATCTCTCTCCAAGATCTGAATGGGCTCCTCTTCATATGACAAATCAGGTCTCAACTCTACTTCTTCAACCTGAATAATGTGACCTGGATCTGGACGGTATCTCCTCAACATTGATACATGAAAGACATCATGAATACGACTTAGCTCAGAAGGCAACTCAAGCTGATATGCAACAGGTCCTACCCTCTTCAAGATACGAAATGGTCCAATAAATCTTGGACTCAATTTACCCTTACGCCCGAATCTCAATACTTTCTTCCAGGGTGAAACTTTCAAAAAGACCCGATCTCCCACTTCAAACTGTATATCCTTCCTTCTTTGATCTGCATAAGATTTCTGCCTATCAAATGCCTCTTTCAGACGATCACGGATTAATCTGACTGTGTCCTCCGTCTCTCGCACTAACTCAGGTCCCAACGTTTTCCTATCACGCAACTCAGTCCAACAGATCGGAGTGCGACATTTACGCCCATAGAGCGCTTCATAGGGTGCCATACGAATGCTGGTCTGATAACTATTATTGTAAGAAAATTCAGCCAACGAAAAAAAGTTCTCCCAACTACCATGAAAATCGATTACGCAACCCCGCAACATATCCTCCAGAATCTGAATTACTCTTTCAGATTGACCATCAGTTTGTGGATGAAATGATGTACTATAATCGAATCTTGTTCCCAAAGCCGTATGTAACGCCTTCCAAAATCTCGAAGTAAATCTCGGGTCTCGATCAGAAATAATAGACAATGGAACACCATGCAATCTGACAATCTCTGAAATATACAATCTTGCCAGCTTATCCAAAGTATAATTTACTCGCACAAGAATGAAGTGAGATGACTTTGTAAGTCTGTCAACAATCACCCAAACTGAATCTTTTTTCGAAGGAGTCATAGTCAAGCCAGTAACAAAATCCATAGTAATACGCTCCCATTTCCATTCAGGAATCTTGATAGGCTGTAACAAACCTGATGGATGTTGATGTTCTGCCTTAACTTGCTGACAAGTCAAACACCTAGCCACAAAGTCAGATATGTCTTTCTTCATACCAATCCAATAATACCTCTCTCTCAAATTTCGGTACATCTTATCTCCTCCGGGGTGCATAGCATATGGACTACTATGAGCCTCAGTAAGGATAGTCTGCCTCAACTCAGCATCATCAGGCACACAATATCTACCTTTAAAGCATAAAACTTCATCCTGATCAATTGCGTAATCTGAGTTTGTCCCCTGCTCTACTTGCTCAAAGATGGAAAGCAAGGAGCTATCAAGGGGCTGCTTAGCTTTGATATCATCAACCAAGGTCGGCTTAACTTGCAATTCTGCTAACAAAGTGCCATCGTCATATAAATTCATCTTGGCCATTAAAGACCTCAACTCCGATACCGTCTTTCGACTCAAAGCATCTGCTACAATGTTAGCTTTACCAGGGTGGTAATCAATCACGCAATCATAATCCTTTAGAAGTTCTAACCAGCGAAGCTGTCTCAAATTAAGTTCCTTCTGGGTCAGAAGATACTTTAAGCTCTTATGATATGTGAAAATGTAACACTTCTCTCCATAAAGATAGTGTCTCCAAATCTTCAAGGCAAAAATTACTGCTGCCAACTCTAAATCATGAGTAGGATAGTTACTCTCATGCGGCCGCAGCTGACGGGATGCATAAGCCACCACCTTACTTTCCTGCATTAAAACACAACCAAGTCCTGAATGTGAAGCATCACTATACACTGTAAAATCCTTCCCGGACTCTGGTTGAATCAACACCGGTGCTTGAGTCAAAACCGCCTTTAATTTCTCAAAGCTCTCCTGTTGTGCCTCACCCCAGTCAAACAACACATTCTTCCTTAACAACTTTGTCAAAGGAGAAGCAATGATCGAGAAGCCCTCAACAAAACGTCGATAATAACCAGCCAAGCCCAAGAAACTACAGATTTTAGATACGTTTTTAGGTCGTTTCCAATTCATAATAGCCTCTATCTTGCTGGGATCCACCTGAACACCTCGCGCAGAAATAATATGCCCCAGAAATGACACTTCTTGAAGCCAAAATTCACACTTGCTTAGTTTGGCATATAGACGATGCTCTCTCAAAGTCCGCAGAACAATCTTCAAATACTCGTCATGCTCTGCCTCAGTACGAGAATAGATCAGAATATCGTCAATGAAGACCACCACAAATTGATCCAAATATGGTCGGAACACCCGATTCATCAAATCCATAAAAGCTGCAGGAGCGTTCGTCAAACCAAAAGGCATCACTAAAAATTCATAATGACCATATCTAGTGCGAATGGCTGTTTTTGCAACATCAGATCCTTTAACTTTCAATTGATAATACCCCGAACGAAGATCAATCTTAGAGAATACAGTAGCTCCTCGAAATTGATCAAATAAGTCATCAATCCTGGGTAATGGGTATTTATTCTTGACCGTCATCTTGTTCATTTTCTGATAGTCAATACATAATCTTAGCGACCCATCCTTCTTTTTCACGAATAGAACTGGAGCTCCCCATGGTGAAGTACTATGTCGGATAAATCCTCGATCGAATAATTCTTGCAATTGGACTTTCAACTCCTTAAGTTCCTTTGGAGCCATACGATAAGGTGCCATAGAAATAGGTGAAGATCCCGGATAAGTCTCAATCTCGAACTCTACCTCTCTATCAGGAGGTAACCCAGGCAACTCCTCCGGAAAAACATCAGGAAACTCGCTAACTGTACGAATCTCCTCGATCGTGGACAATGCACCTTTGGTGTTCAAAATACAAGCAATGAAGGTCTCATATCCCTTCCGGATCATATGATCAATTTCCATCGCTGAAACTATATTGGAGAGATAACCACGCCGTTCACCAATTAACACAACAGTCCGACCATCTGAAGTCTTCAGAGTAGCCCGCTTGTATTCGCAATCCAGCTTTACCTTGTGTTTATTCAACCAATCCATTCCAAGAATTAGATCGAACTCCCCTAAAGGAAGTTCCATAAGATCAGCGAGAAAAATTTCTCCCTGAACCTCGAGAGGACAACGCCGAAATACTTTATTCACTAATACCGCTTGTCCTACTGGACTTGTAACTGTAATAGTATTTTCAGTGTTCTTGACCGGAATCTGAAGGTTTCGAGATACTGAGCTCGATACATAGGAGTGAGTGGAGCCATTGTCCAATAATGCAAAGTATGGGGTAGAATTAATAGTAAATGTACCTGCAATAACCTCAGGCTCATCTCTGTCATCACGACGTCTAGTTGCATAAACTAAAGCTGGCTGTCTAGCCTCAGAAGCTGTTGGCCCTCTATTTTGCTGAGGTCGGTCTCTACTGTCTGTCCTGGATGCTGATCCTCGAGTCTTTCCTTGACTACGATCTCTAATTGGGGTCTGTACTGTAGTCTACGAACGCACAGGAGTTTGGGTAGTGGTCTGCTCAAACGAAACTAACTGAGGACAATCCCTCCGATAATGACCACTAGATCCACACTGATAGCAAAGACCCATCTTCTTACGACACTCTCCTGAGTGCTGTTTACCACAATACTCACAAAGGAGCCCATTATAATACGACGAGGAACCGCCTCGACTGACAGCTAAAGGTGAGGATGCTGCAGGCCTGAAACGTGTATTGCTTCTCTGAGGGGCTGAAGTACGAGTCCTCTTTCCGGACTGTGCTGATGACTCAATCGGGCCTGAAAATTTCTTAGATCGATCTTGATCAACACGCTCTCTACCAGAAGCTAAAACCTCCACCTCTTCCGCATCTTTGGCTCTGCCCACCAGCACATCAAATATCTCATCCTGATGGGTTACAACTTGCCTACGCAGCTCGTATCTGAGTCCAAGGGTAAATTTACGACATCGATCTCTCTCCGTAGGTACCATACTGAATCCATACTTCAGCAACTTCAGGAACTCGATCTCATATTCAGAAACAGTCATGTCTCCCTGAACCAGATCTTGAAACTGTTGTCGTCTCTGAGCTAAGTAGCGCTCTCCCAGAAAACGGCTCTGAAAGCGATCCTTAAAGAAATTCCAGGTCAAACGATCGGTAGGAACACTACTGGTCACTGACTCCCACCAAGTGTAGGCATTGCCATCTAACATCGCCACAACACCCTGATATCTCTTAGTTGAGTCCAAACCCAACTGATCCATGCGTCTCTCTGTATCCTGGAGCCAATCTTCAGCTTCAGTAGGAGCTCCACCTATTTGTCCCCCAAAATTTCTAACTCCATTGGCAATCAAAGTCTGCGAAATAGGAACCTCAGCTACAACACCAGTAGCTCTGACTGCTCCCTGTATTAACTGCAGAAATTGTCTACCAAAATTCTCATCCAAAGCAACTCTGGTAGACTCTGACTCAATATCGGTCGCTCCTATTATCGGTGTAGTCATGCCAATACCAGCGGCAGGAGGCAGATCCGTTGGGGTCATAGGAGCATGATCACCTATCGGAGGTGGGGGATCTACCCGTATCTCATCGATCGGATCTACGAATCTAGCCACTCGACCTCGTCCACGGCTAGTTCGACGACCACGTCTAGCACTCATTTTGATGGATCTCAAGTTTACTACAGAAGATAAACTTAGGGTTAGATAAGCACTTGGAGTCTCAAACATAGTTAAAATCTTAATAACTTTGTGACATGGCCTTAGTAACTCGTTTTGTAAATATTTCAAAACCGTATTTTCAATGTGGACTCATACACAGTCCGAGGGTTAAAAACCAAAAGCTCTGATACCAATAAATGTAACCCCCTAGACCCGGCCTATGCGTTTCGACTAAGTCTAGTGGATCACATTATGATTATTAAATACATTTTTTCGAAACCGTTATTCCATCAATATAAAATCACATTATAAATAACCTGAAATTATAAACAAATTATACTATCAAAATCCAACTCGTAAATATAGTACCAATAAATAATAATGTAATTTAAAACATGTCTTCAAATTCAATATCACAATAAACCGAGTAGTATTAGCAAAAGAGTTATCATTATAAAATCCGATATTTTAAAATAAGGTCCATGTCTCCAAAATAAAGTCAACTTGCCAGATAAAAACATTACAATCTGATTTACTTCAAGAGATATGTTGATCCTCCAAGTGCTCGAACCAAGGTATCTAACCAACAGTATCTGAAAGGGGAAAACATTTTCAAAGGGTGAGCTAGGCTCAGTGTGTCCCAACATTTCCATAAAATCACAATAGGTACAAATCATAGTCCAGTAATCTCACAAATTCGTAAAAGAGTTTAACTTTTTGAAAATCATAGTTTAAACCATTTTCCGGTACACCATCAGTAGTTCCCAAAATTATTTTCCATATAG